CAATGTTGATTATTTAACCACAATATATTATCTCAACTGCGTGCTTTGGAATGTTATGTATAATTGGACAAAGATGGAACTTCAACTCGGTGGAATGTAGATACTTACAGATAAAAAAGTAGACAAATAATTTACAACAATTTTTCAAATTCACCACTGGATGAAGGAATCCTGATGCTAATGACCATACTTTACCGTGCTAGTTGGTGCAGGTTAGTAAAGGCTGGTGGGTTAGTCAAGGACTCGTACGGATATTTCTCTCTACCCATCTTAGCTTTTGGCCTGGAATCAAACCCTGGAAGCCGGGTATCATGGTGCAGTACTTCTAACCACTGCACAACTGCTCTGAACCATATATATGTACAGTTGATCATCGATTATCCAGCGCCCGATTATCCGGCTTTCAGCATTATCCGGCGGTCGTGAGCCAATCACCGCTCCAAAGGGTGTACTGGTCCGGCGATCGGCACCATGTGCGTGACCAAAAAAGGTAGCTTTGCTTGATTTCGGTGTCAAATATTATATACGGTACAATATACACTTCATATAACAACCATTCAGATGCTGTCTTTCTGACAGACCTGTTCTTAACCTGAGGACGGCTGCTTGCATTGTGGCCGAAACGTCGTGAGAATTATTTGATTATGTTTTATTTTTATTATTTTATTATTTCCCTTCTACGTGACTTTACCGAAAGAACCAAGAAGATGAATCCCTGCAGTCACGAAAGCTTTAAATAGAAATTAATATAACAACTTAAAACACTTAAAATATTGCACGTATATAAATCACTGCGTACAGAGTCTTCAAGATTGGAGTGGTAACTACGGTACAGTACATACAGTAACTTTTAAAAGTAGGATGTTTATTTTTGTCCATTTATATGTTTATGTCAATTTCACATTGCAAACTAATTTAAAACCCTAAAAAAAACATAACACAACACCTCAAAACATAATGTCATAAAGAATGTGCAAAAATGAGCTATTTTAAATAATCAGGCGATTATCCGGCATTTAAAAAAATCCGGTGCCCCCTTCCCTACGAAGCCGCTGGATAACCGATGATCTAAAGTATCTTCTTGGTTCTTTTGGTAAAGTCACGTAGAAGGGAAGTAATAAAATAATTATTTTATTATGTTTTATTTTTATTATTTTATTACTTCCCTTCTACGTGACTTTACCGAAAGAACCAAGAAGATGAATCCCTGCAGTCACGAAAGCTTTAAATCGAGATCTAAAGTATGTATGTTAAACTTCTTTCGCACCATATGTAGCCAACCGCGCTAATCGGAGGTGCGTAATTATCTGTTCAGAATAACCTCACTGATTCTCCAACACTCTCATTCAGGTTGGCCAAGTCCATTGAAGGAGTCATTTTCATCTTGCCTGCAAATCGTGTACATGTGTCTGTGTATGTGCAAAGTCGGCACAATACAATACGCACGTTTTCATTTCTATAAATGCCTCTTTCATATCTCTTCCGATTCTAATCGGCCGCAAATTTAAGGTCGCGGTAGAGATATGATTTTTCTCCAAATACGGCAAGATGTGCTTTATCCGTTTTGAAGAAAGCGGGGAAACACGTGCGCACTAATTTGCCGTTTGTTCCCTTAATGAATAAAAAAAAGGCAAGCAGCAGAGGCAAATGTGTCGACACAAAAAAAAGATTTTCTGTGACCGATATACGCTCAGCAATTCCTGTCCCATGTTCTGAGTCTGCTGATGAAGCTGAAATCTTGTTGGGCTTGAAAATTCCCTGTGGGCGGCCCCCTTGGCAACGAGCGGTTTGCCATCTAAATTGATGGCTCTGCAGGCCAGATAATGAAGCAGCATTTGCAAGTGTTGACACTGAGTGAGGGTTGTAATTAGTTTCTACCTGCATCGTATGCAGGAGAGCTTGTCACGCAGGAAGGGAATTCTCCCGGGGGTAAAAGTGTTCCCCCTAAACCTTGCGGGTGAGTCATCGCGTATGTACGTACGTTTCGCACGTATATCGAGTACAGTACCGTGTTATAAAGAGTCGGTGATTTCTTGCACAAATGGGCTATTTGAGACCGAGCTTATCTTTTGTTTCCAGCCCTTGGCCAGTGGTGGAAAATTGCACATTCATATGGTGCAGGCGAGTCTCTATAATAGGCCCAACCTGCTCTTGACTTCGTCACAAAGTGGTAATCTATTTATTGACCCTGGAGGGATGATGGGCTGAGTCGGGGCCCCCTACAATCAGGATTTTAAGTTGCAACCTTCCGGGTTCAATTGACGTGCAGGTTTTTTCAAAGCCAATATTGTTCTTTGACGAAGATTTTTTTTGGTTAGGCCACGTAATTAATTTGTTCAATCGTCACACATTTAGAAGTACCTTTGCGCCAAACATGTGACCTCTTGTGGACAGCGTTCGCATAGACTGCTGTTTGCTGCCATGCACCGGCGTGTCTCGAGTGATTTGTTCGATTTAGTGGATCACGGGGCAGGGGGAGGGAGGGGGCTGGGTGACCACGGGGGCGGTCGCTCTTCTTTTGAGGGTCAAAGTCCACCACTTGGAACGTCGACCGCCAAATGAAGTGCGCAATTTGTTGGAGTTTGCGCACCTGGCCAAAATTTGTGTCATTAAGGGCCCTCCGCCATCCAACATAACCAAACAAATTCAATGTTGACACGTGCGCAAGCGTTTAAGATGCCAGTTATTATTGTGCGGAGCTTAACGGTGAGTTGAATAACAATTCTCACAACCGAATGTGCCAGTTGGATACGATGTTTCGCTTGATGCGAAATCTATCAAGCGTCATTGGGAGAAGATCCATGAAACCAGGTGAAAATCCACAGAGTCAGAACAATAAGTAATAATTGGTGAGGTATTATGCCCTGCCTGTGTCACGGTTTTTCCTCTGTACCAGGCTCTTATTGAAATATAATAGATTTTTTTTAATTGTAAGTTAACAGCTTTATTGGCTGTCAGGTGGCAGAGAGTCTTACGAACACAAATTTGACCGGATTATTGTCTCGTTGACCCCAAAAAGATATATTATCCTTCCGATTGCTATCTCAGTCACTCTACTGCTGAATCACCTGACCAGTTTACAGTACGTAAAAATAATATGATGATATTCTTTAACAGTCCATCGGTGAATTGAGGCCCCCCTCCCCATGCTTCGTCCATCGTGAGAGTTGTTTGACCATACCACGCCACGTTGGTCAGTGTGCATCGGCGAAGTCCACGTATCGTTTGCCGCCAATGTTTGCCGTTTCCGGGAATCGAACACGGGTTGCCCGGGTTCGTGTTGCCGCGCCATTTATCCACGACGCGAGGTCTCACGATTCACCGCCTCAGGCGACCTGAAGAATTGGCCGTGACTTGTAAAAGTGTGGCACCTTTGTGATAGCCTTGCACGATACGAACGAACGAATGAACGCCGCGAATACCAATTGCATTACATTACTATCGTTATTTAATTCTTCGAGACTGTTTTATGTAAATGTATATTGCAAGTTCAACAGCACGGTTCACTTGGACATAAAAGAGAATGCTGCTTAAGCGTTTTTTGCATGCCCATGTGCCTCATGCAATCACGGTCTCCAAATTTACCGCCATACATACTTGAGCCATTGCTCCTGCCGCTTGTATAAATTGTTCGCCGTTCTCAGTGACTGCCTGATGTAAGGCGTCTGTTGTTAAGCCTCTTTCTCACGTGACATAATTTACAAAGTGCTGGCTCTGCTGACAGTATTGCATATACGTGCAATTTAACAACTGCTTAATGTTGCCACTTTATCTCTTTTGTGGCCATTTTATCACTAAAATACACTCGCACGCCAATATTATGTCCACCGACAGATGTTCGGATGGTCGGACCGGAATGCTGCACTTATTTCTTCAGGAAGTCTATAAAGAAGTGCTCTGGTTATGGCTGTACACAGGTTGTCCTCTGCATTTGGAGGGTTTAATGTTTTGCGGTTTGTAGTTTTTACATATATGTTTGCTTGCCACAAATGTACCACGATACCTTGCTGATCTCTTCAAAGAGCATAAACCATCGCGGGAGCTCCAGGCTTTTGGCTAACCATCGAACAAACACGGTTGCCACATCGCTCACGTTCAGATGCTCTTTTGTGGCCATCTGGAACGCTCTTCCTTCCGATATTCGGAAACCACTGTAGCTATGCACTTTCAAATCTAGTTTGAAAACGCATTTCTTTAGAACTGGTGTTTGTGTATTTTGTTGTCCTTCCCACGAACCTCACATTAGCACAGTTGGCTACGTATAGTGCGAAAGAAGTTCAACATAGATACATATATATACATATATGCTTGACACGGCAAGTTGGCCTGTTCTTATCGCGGATCCTCCAGTCTGGCTGACCTGGCTTCATGTCATCGGTGGGCCTTACTGAACGGATTCCGGACGCAGGGCAATCTGCGTGGCCAACCTCCACCGTTGGGGTCTTCATGACGGCCCACGCTGCATCTGCGGCACAAACAACATCCGTGTCGTTGATGACCGCCCACTGACCCAGTTTAGCGGAGGGCTGCAATGTCTAGAACGTGGCGACCGAGGGCGCTGAATGAATGAAGGCAATTGACCCAGCTGGTTTCATGTGGTGACTTTTTTTGTTAACTAAACACATTTTTTTTTATTTTACCAGGTAAGGCCCCACTGAGCTACATAGCTCTTTTTCAGAAGCGACCTCACCATCACGAATGATGTGCTCAAAACTGGAGTGGCTTATCACGTGGACATTTACAGCAGCCCAAATGCTTTAAACGTGCGAGTATTTGCAAAGGCAATTTTTATTGCTCGTTTTAGGTCGGGTTGGGGGGGGGGGGCAAAATCGAGAATGAAGAAGCCTACTGTGCTTGGTGGTGGCAGCCATGTCATCGCTTATTTGCGCCGTGGCCGGCCTTAATGTGCACTCGCTAACTCCCACTCTTCTTGAGAGTGTGCGAGGTTTAACAGATTGGCGGTGGGGTGGTGCTTTGTGTGTGTGTGTATTCGTTAATAGGTAAGTTCCATGGAGAATCCAAGTCCCTTGTTGAGCCCTCGCGAGGCCATCTGAGCAACGCCGAGAGAGCGACCTCTGACCTCGCTCGTGGAGTCGCCGCCGCCGCTGCTGCTGCCGGCTGCCAACATGGACATCAACTCGGCTGGCATGTCCAGGATCGATGTGCAGGAGAACAGCAAGCCGACCGTCAATTGCAACGGGAACACCGCCGGCATGCAAGGTGGGGGGTGGTAGCCGCATCGGGAGGGCATCACTCAGCAGAACGCGAATAATTAAGGCTTCGGCGAAGGGGTCAGATCAACCGATACTATTGCATCCGTTAACCCGTTCCGAGACAACTGCAAATTGCAGGGTGGGGTGGCTCTCGTTCACCGCTCAATCTCAGAAGGCGCGAACGCTTTCGGCGTTCATTTTATTTCGAGAGGCGTGCCAGCGCCGTCGTTTCTCCAGACATTGTCAATCGCCGCAGAGAACTGTAGCGACTCGACCGCCGCGCTCTACGACGGCTGGCGACAAAACCGCCACACGCCCTCCCCCTGCATGGCCTTGTGGTGAGCCTCGGTACCGCTAAAGCTCTTTTAGTTTCGTCGTTCTTACGGAATCAGCAGAAAAAAACGGGAAAGGGTTAACAATGCGTGGGGAAGGGTTTTGAGCACTTTGTTTTCACTGAATATTTCAAATAAAAGCTGTAAATACAGTACAGCCGAGGGTTGCTGTGGAGGTGAACCAGGATTTATTTTCGATGCGCGTGCTAATTTTGTCATGGTTAGTGTCGTTTTCTGGCCTCTTTTTTTTATTCAGCGTTTAATGGATCGACAGACGTACAATCATTTTCACATTTTAAGTAAAACCATTGCCGACACTTACATTGAAATATTTCGCAAGCGAGTATATCATTAATACGTTGCATATACATTTAGCACAGCTGGCTACCGACCAAGTGGTGATTTTATTATTTTCCACTCTTTATCTGCTTATAAAATGCTTTGCTTGCTTATTCATAACCCCCAATCACAGCGAGAAGTCGAGTTTCACAACTGCTTTATGGACACACGCTGTTGATTGCATACGGGGACGCATGTTGTTAGTTCAACGCGAGGTAACGTTATGCTGCATTTAATCGTGAAGCAAATATCCTACAGTTCCGTAAAGATAACATTATATGAGCCCAGGAACCAGTGTGTGGCGTTCAAGAAAGGATCGATGACCCATTTGAACATGTAATGCCTTCTGGAGACTTTCTGCTCGGACTGTCATTGAAAAGAGATGGTGAAAAAATTAACCCGTAAAAACAAAGTTTTTCACTATAAATCCTTTATATGCGTGGCATCGGGGCGGTTAGAGTCCTCTCGTCCTCTGGCTTGAGATCGCTGCCACCTATGGGTCAGACGATTGTCTGGCAGCATTAAACAATCGGTAATTAAATATTTTAAAAACATTTCCCTAAGCAGTGTAAAATTTTGGAAATAATTTTTTTCACGAAAATGCATTGTCACGCACAACGAGTCTGTGTGCAAAATGTCAGCTGGATTGGATCACGGGAAGTGGGTTTAAAAACGACCGAAAGATTTGCACGGTCCTAAGCAAGCAAGCGAACTTAATATAAAGGATTTAATGACCGCGTGGGACAGGGGCGGGGAGAGAATTATGAATTACTTGCCGATCCGTTGCAACTGCCGTGGCGGGGAACCGAACCGGATTGCGAGTCTTGTGAGGCTAACGTACCAAGGCACCATTCCACACGAATCAATTATGTGGGGGGAGGAGTGATGACCCCCCCGGGATTCATCCCCGGCCACAGCTGACATCAGTGGGTGAGTGACATCTGCGCACCAGTTCTGAGCCATCTCTTCAACAGCCTCCATTGACCAGAGTGGTGAAGTATGTACGTGCGTTGAGGCGGTGTGAAGTACGCGGATTATGGTGCCAACAAAAACCCCCATGACCGACTGAGTGTGCAGAGGAAAATGGGTTGGTATATTATTGTTAATTATATAGAAATGTGTTCCATTCTACACGGACACCTGATTACATTTGGAGAAAATACATATTTTGTAAAGTAGTGAATGGATGTTTATAAAACCTCATTTGATTACTGTCTATATATTTGGGCAGGGGGGGGGGGGCAGAGTGGTTGGTTTTGTACTTTCATTGTGGTGCAAATCTGTCTATATAAATTAAGACCTTAATCTGTAAGTAGGTCTCTAAAACCTCCAGGGTACTTCCCGACAAGGTAGAAAGCTCAAATTAGGTACATGTGTAGCTTTTAGGACACCGAAAACTTGAACAACATGCAAATCCGAGATTTTTCATTTTAAGGCCCCCAAATCTCGATTTTAAGCGCCCCATGAACACGTTTGTGCGTGGTGTCATTCAGAAATCGTTCAAAATATAAGAATGCGGGGTTTTTTCGTTTGATAGAGCGCTAAACAGCAAATGAAGTTAAAGCAAGAACCATTGTTCCATCTTTTATTGTTTTTGAGATATTTCGGATTGAAGCGTTGTTGAATGAAAAAAATACGTATATTTTGATGTTAAAATCTGAATAATTAGAAAACGGTAAAAGATAGGAGCTTCCACTTGTAGAGTTTTAAGTTTATTAATAGTTGTTCTGTATAATACAAAAACGGAATCTTTAAATTTAGCAGTTTCCAATGGGTACGTCTTTTTTTAATGTAAGAAGGTGAAGCAAGTCTTCAACGAAGCATTTTTTTGCGGAAAAAAAATAATTTAGTAATTGTTAGTGTCTGATCATAGATAAAAATTGTAAAAAATCATATCCGGTTAATTATTATATTTATTTAAAACCTTTGCCTGGCGAAGACAGGCTTCATGAACGAGTGTAATTCATTCTGAAATGTTTCCAAAATAATTCGTTCAAATAAATGCAGACTGCGACAATATTTCACAGATGCCAACATTCCCACGATCGTAATAAAAAAAGTCTCGTGAATTGATTTTGCATTGAATCTTTGCAACGACAAACAAACTCCCACTGCAGAACTGAATCATTTCATATTTAATGTGAATACAAATATTAACTTGAGAAAAATGTGTGCATCTTTTAAAATTGATTGTGCAATTTGGAATGTAATTTACATTTCATTTGTGCTAAATTGTGTGTGCTCCAATTATGGGGAGCAGTGGCGCCAAGGTTAGCATACTGCACAACAAACCCTGAGGCCCTACCACCAATATTAGTGACGAATAATTGAATTGGGGAAACAAAGGCGGCCAGGCATGGTGTTAGCCACACCATCCTCTAGTGTGCCGTGCTAACCTTCATAGGTGCTCGCTAACAGCGCTTGCCCCAACAGGCTGTTACAGGCTGTTACAGGCTGTTGGGCGATCTTTGTGTGCACCAACATTCCATAGGGGTTGATCCCCTTTTTGAAATTGGCATGTGCAGCTTCTTCATAATGAGTAAGTTCTATGTCAACCTGTGGACTGAAAAGGCACCATGCAGAGAATTTCATAGCCATTCATTGTGAGTTTAATGACGAATCAAAAACAGCCTGCATTTGGGGGTCGATGATTTCTGTGTACGATCGCAGGCGAGTCGTTTGCGGATAACTTTTCAAATTCGGCCAAGTTGGACCATGATGCCAACGTGTAAGAGGCCCTACTCGTTTTTACGAACCACGTCACAGGATCTCTAACATCCAATGGGAGGCAGACGGTGCATGCATGCATGTGTTTCGTACGCTCGCAGTATTAACCAGGGCACCCTGCAGGGTCATAAAACCACAAACAACAAGCGGGCAAATTAGCTACGGCTGGACGATGTCCATCATGATGCCCAGACAGCACCTGAGAAAGTAGCGGCCATAGAACCAAAGCGAGGCAGCCGGGGTGCCATCGTGTGCCGACGAAACAGATCCAAACTTCAGTCTGAGTTTACCTACAGGACACCCACGCCAGATACCTACAGTATATACACTCCCAAATGAGTTTTTTTTTTGCTTCTGCCGGGATTTGTAACGCGACTTTGTACGCGTGCACGTGAGACTCCTTTCGCACCGTATGTAGCCAACGGTGCTAATCGGAGGTCCGCGGGGAAAGGACAAAATCCCGCTAGGCGACAGACTCACAGATGCGCGCACACACACCTGGTACGGAGCGGGTGGCCGTTTCATTTGCACTCTTGGAAGAGCGGCTCATCCATTTCAAAGCGCCAATGTCCATTTTGACAAGAGCGTCCGCTATCGAGGTTAACCGTGCCTGCCAGCGATCCCAACTGACATTGTTCTCTTGTGGCCATTGTTGTGCCACCATTGCAGGTTTGACACTTGTGTGGCAGATAATGAGACCCACAACGTGAAAACCAAGACGCCACCGGTGTGCCCTCTGGCTCGTGTAGCTAGCATACAGAGTATGCTACACTGTGCATAAGCATGTTTTGGTTACGTACGGTGCGAAAGAAGTTCAGCATGCATGCATACAGATACTAAACTGTGTGTATATAGGCATTTAAAATATATATTTAGAACATTCAGCACATTTACCAAATAAAACTGACGCCTTAAAAGGAAAAAATAATAATAGGCGACGTTTTGGGAAATAGTGCTCCACGCGAAAGACTGCCTTAATTGCGTTTTTTTTCTTTCGTGAAGAAGGGCCATTGCTTGAAACGTCCCTTTAAGGCAGTGTTATTGACGAATGTGAGGGGGGGCGGGGGGAGGGTCGTTGAATGCGCTTGATCATCACCGATGATTCGTTTTAACTTTTTGGACCTCTATATATAGATATGATGACGTGCCATGAGGCTCTGTCCTGAATGTGTACAGGAGTGATTGATTGATGGTTTGCATGCAAACATGCCCTGCCCTCTCATGCACCGTGGCAGCGTTAATAAGTAGGCCTGTAATGTTGCCTCAATTCATCAATTAACGGCGACTCTAATGTCGACTGTGTTGGAATTGATGTTTCCCATTCGTATATGTGTTGCACGTAATGAGTTCATGTAATGTAACAAGCCCCTAAGTTTCGCCAGGATGTTGAGAGGAATCGATTCGCAAATTGAACTGTGATCCTGAATCACGACAGTTAATTGAATCGCGCGGCGAGTGAATTTGTACCTACCTGATTTAACAGGTGCTCGCTAACAGCCATTGCACCTTTCGCCGAGTATAACGTCAACCGCTATCGGGACGCTGACATCACGAATCTTAATTTAAAACATGTACTCTCCTGTTTCGCCAGTTCCATTTCATCCGCCCA